GAAAGAGTGCATGGAAAATGCTAAAAGGAGCGTGTGCACGCCATAAATGGCATCTATTATGTCACATCTAATGGCATGTCCATAAAAAGAACTCTGAAGTAAAACAGACATGATCAAAGTAAATTCCTTTTCACCTAATCATGAACTTTATTTTAATTCTACCCCTATTTTTCTATACATTAATAAATAATCAGTCAAGTTCTAAAAACCTTTGTGACGATGAATATACTCTGCAAAATTTAGTCATTTAAAGAGTTGATTCAAAAAAAAATGTAAAGGGCTTGGTTCTTATTCTTGACATCTCTATAGTGATAAATGCTACAGTTAAAACACCCCAACAGCAATCTGGCATATTGATGTTTTGGAGAGAGCTTTGGACTTGGAGTCAGAAGACCTGTGTGAAGTCCCAACTCTGCCGCTTACCAGACATGCCAACATGGGCAATCACTTAATTCAAAATTACCCATTGCACATTTATGAAATGGATAAATGGGCCTACATGTTCTAAATCTCAGTTCCGTAAATGGGTTCAAGCTGAGAGGCTAGGAAGGTCTCCCTAGATTTCTAAATATCTGATTTCCAAACTCATTTACACATTAGCACCACTGAAAATTATTTTTAAGGGACCAGCAGTTAGCATAATGGCTATGTCGCTGAACTCTCATGTAGTCGACCGCGGTTCGACTTCTGGACCCGGTGGCTTAAACGCACGCTGGGCGCGTGTGCGTGCATGTCCAAGATCCCAAGGAGAATGGAGGAGAAGGGATTGTGGCAGGGACATCCTCCCTGGGTTGTGACTTCTCACTTTCTGTCTCTTTGTCTCTCTCTGTCTTTCTGGCAAGCACACACACCCTGTAGCAAAAACCTCTCTCCCCCCCAAAATTTTTTTTAATTATATATGTTTTTTACTATCATATAAAACAGTGAACTAAAATATCACTGGAAGAACAACATATATAATTTACCAGTTTGGGGTTTCATTTTGCAAAGCATCTTAAGTAACATGTCACTCTAATATTAAACATGAAAACAGCAAATGCACTAAAACCAATTCTTTCTTGTGTATACACACACACACACCTTAAAGTAATTAACTGAGTCAACCATCCTGGTTTGCCAAGACTGCTTGCTTTAGCACTGAAAGTTCTATTTCCCCCAAAACTCTGTGGTCTCTAGAAAACAGGGACAGCTGGTCACTGTAACATAAACACACATATACATATGCTTTTTCTGTGGTGTGCATATGCCTGTGTGGGTATGTGTTAGTATGTGAGTTTTTTTTTCTTTTACGGGGTCTTCCTGTGTTGTGATCCTACTGCCTCAGCCTCTGCAGTAGTGAGACCACAGACTGGCTTTTAGAGGTGAGCTGGGAATTGAACCAAGGTCTTCTATGTGGCCTGGACCAGCCAAGCATCAGCATCCAAGCTGTGCTACCATGGTGGAGCCCACATGCACTTTCAAGTGACCCTCAGTGTCTTAGAACCAAATACAGATAGACATAGCTCTGATGAAGCATCATCACCAAGGTGAAGTCCTGGGTCACTACTGACCACTCGGCTCCATGATCACACTGGGAGACCTCTGATTCCAGTGACATGAGTAAACCACGCGACATCACAGGTGAGCGAGACAGCAATCATGAGGGCCATCACCCATTTTGCTACAGTCCATGCTATGAATATTTAAATTCAATAAACACCATTTAAAAATAATAAATAAAGCCCCTGTCTCTCATCTGCCATTTTTGTCTACTCTACTGAAAGAGTCCGATGATTTTCAAAGAATCACACTTCTACCATTTGACAGATTTCATAGTTTATAGCACTGCAATTTTTTGTTAAAATTTCCCTGTAATGATGCCTTGCTAAATAAACAACATAATATATAGTAAATGTACACTATGATCATGTCTATCTAAACTAATGACAAAACTATCCCCTTCTTTTAAATAAAACAGCTGCTCAAAAACAAATTAATTTAAAATGGTAGGTATGGACCAGAATATATACATATATCTGCTCTGTTTTAAAATCAAACTCACCATATACATCTATTCTAGAACCACAATATTATACATGACTATCTTCTCTTTGGTCACCTAACGGAGACATGAGATTCTAAGATTCAGTCATGATCATTCAAGCTTACAAAGAATAGCACAGTCTGCAGAACCTGCCCTTGGTAATACACATCTCTTACAGCTAGTTATCTGTGTGCAGGACAGTTGGGCAACTGTTTCCACTAGTGTGGAACATATGGCCAGAGGCCTCCCACTGCTTTTAGTTCTACACACTAAAGAACTAATGGCATAGAATCACTACTAACAAGACAGAAGAAAAGGCCACATAATGCCTTTCCTTTAGGAAACCAGAATCTTAAAAAGATTGTAGTAATCTGGTACATTCATAGCCTTGCAATGAATCAATCAAAATTTTTTTGAAAAAGCCCACGAGAATTGTGATTTCTATCCTTAAAATCAGCAACAGTCATGTCAATATTTCTCCTTTTATGCTTCTGACCATCAGCAATATGTGAACAGTCTGGTATATCTGGAATCGGCATAATAAAGGAACTGTATAAAGTGGTTCAGATCATGTTAAGACACATAGCATGATCCAATACCTCATCCTTCTACCACTGGCTTTCACAGTAGAAAAACCAAGGAGATGCGGGAACATCACAACATATTTAGCAGAAACAACATAAATCTCCAAAAGTCTCTTAACTAGCCTTGAAATATAATTCAAAATCAACTAAAATCATACTTCAAAAAAACTTACTATATATAATACATTCCCTTCACGTATGATTTTAAATAATCTTAACAAAACTTTTTCAGCAAAGTCAAGATTGAATTAAGACTTACTGATTGTTCATTTAAATCCTGGGAGTCTTCCATGTGGTTTTCTTCCGTTTCCTGCCACTCCCACGTAGAAGCAGCTTCCTTCAATTAAAAGCAGACTATAAAAAACAAAAAGATGGAAACAGTACAAAAAGAGTTATCTTGTGTATTCATTTGTAAAATTACCTCCAGTATATTAAGATTTAGCATTTACATGGTGATTTGTAGAGACTTTTTTTTTTTTTTTAAGAGAGTTTTTGCTATGGGGGCATGCACTCTCTGGAGACAGAAATTCAGAAAGCTTCTCGAGAACTCTCTGCCCAGGGAGGATGGCCACACCACAGTCTCTTCTCCTTTAGTCTCCTCTCAGGATTCTGGGCATACATGCACATGCACCTGGCTTGAGTTTTAAGCAGCCAGGTTCGGGACTGAAACCATGGTCAACTACATGGGAGTCTAGCGACCCAACGATTATGCCATCCACTAGTCCCCGTAGAAGCATTTTTTAAAGAGCAAAATTAATTAAAACTGTCCCATTTCTGATGTAAATAATGATATTGAAAATAGTAATGTGGTAAGCTAGGATATGGGAACAGCTACTCAAGAATCCTGCACATAAAAATTTCTGAGAGGCATAGTCTGCAATAAATAATTAGTACACTACTATTCTGAGAGAGAGCTACCACTAAGTAATTCAAAGATTTAGAGTCTGAGGGATGAGCTTTCTGATCTGGGGTTCAGGGAGCCAAATCACGCATGGACAACTGCAATTTGAATCCTGGCCCTGGCAGTTTGAAAAACACACTGGGCACATCTACAGGTATGTCCAGATGGGAAAATGATGGGAAAAGGATTGCAGTGTAAACACATCCCCTGAAGGTGTCTCTGAGATGGTGTCTTCATCTCTCTGCCTTCTCTCTGGTGAGCACACATGCCCGCTGACGATTAAAGACAAAAAATTAAAAGTTTGCATTAACAATTCACTTTTGAAAGTACGTAAGAGAATTTTTTAAAATTCAATGTATATATATATTTTTTTTTGAGAGATTTTCGCTATAGGACACGTGCGCTCACCAGACAGACAGAGAGAGACAGAGAGACAGAAAGTGAGAAATCACCCTCCGGGGGGATGGTCACGCTGCAATCCCTTCTCCTCCATTCTCCTCTCGGGATCTTGGGCACACACGCACATGCGCCCAGCGTGAGTTTTAAGCCACCGGGTCCGGGACGCAAACTGCTGTTGACTACATGGGAGTCCAGCGACATAGCCATTACGCTAACTGCTGGTTCCCAAAATTCAATGTATATTTTAACTGGAAAGCTTTTACAGGAAATTTTGTTAGAATTATCAGATGATCATTCTTTATTTCTATAAAATATAATGTTATAAAATGCATAACCAATTTTAAAAGAGAATAAAACAAGACTATTATGCTAAAGAAGGTATTACAAATGAATACAGCAAAGAGAACTGGTAAATAAACTGTGATAAGATAGTCGACTATTCAAAAACGGCTCATCCTTACCCCATACGACTATTAACATTTTTCCAAGCAAATCGAAGTTTAAAAAAATGCTAAGAAAAATAGGCATATAGTTTAATTTCTATATAAAGATTTTATAACATTTGCAATAGAAAATGACACAAAAAGCCAAATAATCAAAAATCCCATTTCATGCACACATACAAATAATCAAAACCAAAAGATACATGAAAATATAGAAACACCTACACAAATACGAAATACAATGGGCTAATATCCTTAACATATAAAGCACTCTTAAAATTCAAACAGAAAGTAACACACATCCTGTAGAAATATCTTCATAGTCAATCACCAAAAAATAGTGTTCAAACTCACAAGTAAATGAAATGTAGTTTAAGATAACAGTGTTACATTTCTAGTCCTCCAATTTTTAATTCTAAATAAAAAATTTGTTTTCTTAATTATGAGAAGTCAAAAAATTTTAAAAGCTAAAAGACTTAGGTAAAAAGGTGTTCATCTTACATGTAGATATTAAAGTCCTATTTCAAGGGATATTTAATAACATCAACATTTTCTGTAAAAATCATTTATGTGAAAAAGAAGTATTCTAAGCCACAGAAACAACTGGTTAATAATTTAATTTACTGAACATTGAAAATATACATGTATTTTACTCAGTTTTATATACATATGTGTGTGTGTGTGTGTGTGTGTGTGTGTGTGTGTGTGTGTGTGTTCACATATTCCATACTACAACCAGGTAAGCATGGTTTTAATTTTTTTTATTTAAATTTATTTGTTTATGTTCATTCACTGTACATCATTACAGCATACAAAATGAGATTTTCCATCCAGAGTACACTGTATATTGTCTCAGTCAAGCACATCAACATACATGTTATTGTCAACAAATAATTTTTCATTTCTTGTTTCCTGTTTGTTTTGCTTTTTCCCCCCATCCTTGATTCCATATCTCTTACCCTCTGCCATCTCCCACTCTCTTCCCACACTATCTCTGGTATCTATGTTTACTTTCTATACTGTTGCCCCCCCCATTTTTTATTGAATTACTAAAGATCTTAATTAATCTAAATATTTTCATAGCAAACAGCTGATACATACATTTCCATGAACACAAGTCTAACTTTAGGCATCCTATAAAGTAGCACCTAGCTGGGGCTATATATCTTACTGCGGTCATCGAATGTTGGTGGGGTGTATTGATGAAATTTCTGTTAGAAGCTGTTACTGTGTGTTACATGTAACAGACTTGGTAAATATTTCACAGTTCTCTTTAACAAACCATGCTTTTAAGTTGAAGTGAAGTCAACAAAAAGGAAGTGGGTGTATGGATATGTGATTTTGAGATTAAAGTTAGTCTTAAAATGTAAATAAATTGTGGAATGTGTAAAAAAAATGTAAATATGCAATGTGACAGTTTCAGTAAGATGCTGATTATAAATACTGCAGGGGCCAACTGGTAACACAGCAGCGACACAATGCTCTGTGACGCTGGATCTAAATCTAAGTGTCCCAGGTTTTGGTCCTAACGCCTATCTGGACACAACTGGTATGTGTGTGTGTATATATATATATATATATATATATATATATATATATATATATATATATATATATATATATGTGTGTGTGTGTGTGTGTGTGTGTATATACATGTACATACACCTCCCATATCCAGGCTGCTTGGTGCTGGGGTAGATCATGGTATGAAGACACTGTTAGGGGTTCCTATTGTGCTCTCTTGTGAAGAAAAAAATAAAACTTCAACAAAAAAGAACTCCACAACTAGAGGAATGCAATTTCAAAAAAAAAGCATAATTTTAAAGCTAATAGGAAATGGGGAATGCAGATATAAGCACATGCATCCTGAAAGGTCTTGCAATTGAATTCAGGAAGGTGAGTGCCAGGGGGCTCTCAATTAAAGATCTTGTGTGTCTGGGAAGGGGAGAGGGGGGCTTAGAAATGGTCACCAAAAAAGCTCAGCTCTTTGCCTTTTGGCTTACACCTCCATCTTCTTCCTCCTTCTCTCCTTCCTCTCCTCCTGGTCCTCCCCTCACTCTGAGCTTCTCGGCACGGTGGTGGTGATTCTTGCTGATGCCTTGCTTGCTCTCCTTTCTCAGCAGACCTGCTTATCCTGGGTCCTATGTACTGTGCCCAGGCCTGGTGATCCGGATCCCTCTGGCTCAGATTCACCTTGGATATGATGAAGCATGACAACTGCAGGTCACTATAGTCCATCGAATGCTAACTGGCCTAAGAGTGGACACATGCTCACTTCACATGACCTTCCTCCACCATCCTGGATTAAACTGTGACTGACCATCTCCTTTACAGTTTCTCCTCACTACCTGGTAACGAATTAGCTAAGTACTCTCTGAAAAAGGAGAATCTAATGTTCCTTCTTATTCTAATAGATAAATGGGTAAGGTAAACTGTAAAAATGCTGTACCAGCATGCAAAAGGAAAGGACAAAAGATGCGGCTAAATAAAACAAAACAAACAAACTTTTGCATTCCTGAATATAGAAAAACAGCCCCTTCTCAGTCTTTTAGCTAACATAAAGTGCAAACAACCTCAAAAGTAAAACCACACAACAGATTATGAGAAATATCTAGTAAATATTAAGACTATAACTATACTCACTGAGAACACAGAAACTGGAAGGGAAAAGTTTAATGACCCGTTAAATAATTATGTAACAATGTACATAATAAATGAAATATGCAAACACATACACAATAAACATATGGGAAAGTGTTCACTCTCTCACAGTTATTGAAGTATGCAAATAAGCGACAAATACACATTTTGGATTATCATGTACATAATCAATAACTGAACTATTTAAATATTGATGAGGCTCAATGTCAGAAATGATGCAGTGAAAATAGTGCCCTTAATTGCTAGTAATGTCAAGTCTTCAAATACTTTTAGAAAGCAATCTGAGGCTGACTCCATGGCCTGACAGACTAGGCAGCCAGATCCCACATGGCTGATACTTGGTTTGAATCCCAGACCCAGTGGCTTGAGAAACATGCCAGACACATGTGCATGCATGCACAAAATCTCCAAGAAAGGAAGAGACAGGAGAAGGAATTGCTGAGTGAACATACCCCATGGGAAGTATGTTCTCTTCACCCTCTCTCTGTCTCTGTCTCTCTGTCTCTGTATGTGTGCATGTGCCCTCTAGCACACACACAAAACAGAAAGCCGTCTTCCATTGCACTTCAGAAACTACAAATATGTCCAAACTCTTTTTATCTAGCATAAATTTTCCAAAAGAGTAAACTCGCCCCACCAAAAGGTCACAAAGTTTAAAAACTGGAAACAGCCTCTTTGTGGTGAATTGATTAAATAAATTATCGTCAATTAATGTAATGTAATATATTTTAATGAGAAAAGAAGGTAATTTAGGGCCAGGAGGTGCAATGGAGATTAAGGCGCTGGATCCCACATGGCCTCTGAAAAAGGAGAATCTAATGTTCCTTCTTATTCTAATAGATAAATGGGTAAGGTAAACTGTAAAAATGCTGTACCAGCATGCAAAAGGAAAGGACAAAAGATGCGGCTAAATAAAACAAAACAAACAAACTTTTGCATTCCTGAATATA